GATATTCTACAAGAAGATCCTGCTTTGTTTTTTTCCCTCTTATTACTGAAGACAACTCCTCCTCCTCAAAGGAGGTAGGCTAGAGAAAAAACAGAACTGAAGAGGCTGTGCCACAGGAACAGGACAGAGCTCTTCATTCCCATCCATTTAAACTCAGTTTAATGATGAACGTACCTCCCCAGGAGTGAACTTGCAGTCTGGGCCTGGAAAGGACAGTAATTTTTCATCCCACTGCACAGTCCGATCGAAACCTGTATGGAAACTAGAACATTAATTCCCAAATGGGGATCTGAAAGTCACTGACAGCCCATAAGGCCACGATGCGCAGCAGCTGAGCCGTGGGAGATGACCATAAAAATACTTCAGTAGAGTGATGAGTAACTGTTAACTGACCATGTTTCTTGACCCAATGAATGTGAGAACTAATGAATTAGGATATTTAGTTATGCAATGCAAGAGCAGTTGAGCTAGGAAGGCACAAGGTCAAAGTCTCAATAGATAATGAGGCAAACAGCAACACAGCAATACCCTGGTAACTGAAAAATAAGTGAACTGCTATGTTTTATCCACAGATAAGTAACAGAAACCCACAAATTGACAGTTTCTTGCTCACTGCAAAAGAAGAGCCTGAAGTGTCAAGCCTTCTCTTTAACCTTTTCTTCCTAGGTGGCAGCAGCCAGTCTTTCTTCCTTCTCAACACAAAGACGGTTAAGTTTGTTCATACTAAGCCTTCTATTGCTGTGCGTATTTTCAGTAGATTCTGTGTTACCAAATTCAGGCATTCTTCTTCAAAAGCCATGTCTGTCCTTCACAGAGATCGGTGTCTTCTCTGCACTTCGCACTGGTAAGCAGCCTGTGAGAGCAGCTCACAGCTTTGTTGCTACTGGCCCGCTTCCTTCTAAAACGATTAAAACGTCTGTAAGAAATAAGCCTGAATTGGTGATGGAGAAGGAAGACAAACTCCCTCTGAAGACTGCTTCTCTGGTAGAGCACCGAAATTTTTCTATTTATAAGACTACTAAGAAAGAAAATACATAAACGTTTGTTTGTTTGTTTTGTTGTTATTTTTTTAATTTATTTTTAGAAAAGTCACAATGTTGATAGGAGGTTTTAATAAGTAATTTTTAGGCTTGCAAAAGCTGAAGAAGGATTCAGGAGTCTGGTTAGCTAAAAGCTAGTTTGAGCTTCCCCTGCCGTTCTATCCCTAAGAACCACTGGATTATTTCTGTTTTCTCTACACTTGGCATTGATATGAGATACCTGTTTATTCATGCAGGTAAGCAGTACTTTTCATTTCTTTGTATTTACATAGATCAAATGTTTACATAAAAATCAATTTTCCACCCTCAAACACACTTAAAGGTTTTAGCACTTTTGTACTAAAAGCAGAAGTGGGGCAAAAAGAGGTTTACAAATTAATTCCATAACAAAATACTAAAATCTATGTAAAGCTTTGTTGCAAGCTAAGAAACATGTACAAGAAATTCTTAAATGAATTATCCTTGGCATACATTCATATTTGAATGCACAGATATATTTACATGTTTAATATCCAAATTCATAACGTCTTCTAAGATGTTCCATGAAATGTCATCTTTTGGTAGAACCTTGCCAGGTGGCTGAAGCACATTAGTAAGACACATATTGTAAAATTGCATGAAAATTGGAAACAATTAGAATGAAAGCCAACAGAACTGGTCAGACTATTCCTTCCAGACCGAACTAGTTATTATTCCAGACTTAGTCCTTCAACTGTTATGAGTTGCACAGTTCTCCATGTCTCCAGAGATCCTTGAAGCCTTCCTGTGGCTTTCAAGAGCCACAGCAAAGCTCTCAAGTGCTTTCAGTTGAGGATACAATCATAGGTCCTCATCCCGATGGCAATCCTTCACAAGTCCAAAAGCATTCTTTGCGCGTATGCTATTTATACTGCTCAATGGACACTTGTGGAGTCAGGCTGGCTTGTTCTGGTCAGTCTTGCTATTAGGTACTTTTGAGTTGTAGTACTGCTCCTGTCTTTTAAGTGTGTATGATAAGCCTTCCCAATTCAAAGTATCACATTATTTTCTGTTAAGTTTTTGGTTATGGAAGTCTGACGATGTTAATCCCCGCTCCCCAATACTTCACCTACAACTGTTCAGACAACTGCCAAACATCAGTCTCGCCAGATGTACAAAATCCAAGTATGTTTCTCATTTGCAAATCAGGATTTTCCACATCTGACCAGCTCAGTACTTGCTAAGCGGGAAGAGCCAGAAAGGATGAAGGGTCTGTGTACACTAATTGGGGTGTTCTGCACTAGTTTGGGTGTTATGAATCTGTACCAGACAGATGCAACAAAAAAAAAAAAAAAAAAAAAAGGCAAAAACAAAACTCTGAATTTTTGTCCCTTGGATGCTCAAGAACAAGTATCTCTTCCCTGGTGGCTGACGCAGGCAGCTACGCAGACTGTATCAGCAGCACCCACACCCAGATCCATTGTCCACGCACAGTGACCCATTTGCTTTCAGGTGCCCACACCGTATACCAAGTGGTTTGGCTGGTACGCTCACTGCATACAGGATATTAAAAAAATGTTTGCACTGCCTGAAAGCAATGGTGTAACAAAACATTAACTGCTTATTGTTTTTGGAGAGGTAAGGAAAAGTTAAGCATCCTGAATGCACTTGAGACACACCCAGTTGTCAAAGTACAGGAAAGAATGTAAAGGCACAACATACTTCTACACTCCTGTCATTAAGGCCATATATTGGTGTGTGACAATGCTTCACAGGGCTAACCATACAGAAGTGCTCAGGTCTAAGTCACACTCCCAGAGGTGTTTCAAACAAGAACTGTTTTCTCATGCAACTTCAGACTCTGCTTTTTTATTATGCTTTTTTTGTTTCCTTTTTTTTTCAGGCAGAACGCAGGCTCTCTGTCCAGTTTCAATGGTCTGTTCTTCATTGTGTTTTCTTTAGTTCTCCAGAAGTGTGCGCTGAACTAAAAAGTGAAAAACAACTCGAGATTAGTACACTAAGTATACATTTTAAGTTATGTATTACTATGTAACCGTATATGTGGGCAACAGACTTTTTCAGGAGGCATTTGAAACTGGGATAAATTCAGGTAAGCAGGGGCTTGATTCTGTGTAGCCAGTACCCTGCATACCAAGGGATATTACAACCCAGATTTCTCACTCAAATAACCACATCTTACTAGATCCGTGTAGCTATCTACACCTGCAGTATAACCCAACATGCAGTTTCAGACTTGCAGTTTTGCGGATGCAAAAATGAAATGGAGTACAGTCTGCGTAGCTGATGCAAAAAGCAGGTTATTGAAAGAAAGTGCTAGCCTAGGTTATCTACATTTTCAGGAAGTCAAAGATAGGTCTACATAAAAATTTAAAAAAGCAAACCTGTTCTGCCGTGCCATCTGACCTGGCTTAATGCAAGGTTGCTTCTAACTAGAAGCCATGGAGGTACATCAACACTCTATTACCAAAAGCAGAGCTAATGTCTGCTGACTCCCAGAACTTAGATCAGGAGTAGCACCATGTTGACCATGGTTACCCAGTTTCTTGGCTCAAAACATGCTTATGCTTGCCTGCAAAATATAACAGAGGTATGAAATTTGGGATTTAACATGACATCCATGTGTAGGCAGGAGCAATCATTTATGATAACATCTCAGGTTTGACTTTATCGGTTAAAATAAAGTATGCATCATCTGATGCATTTGTCACCTGAGTTCTGGTAAATCTTGGCCAAAATTTTAGCATATTCTGACTCCAACTCATATGTTAACTGCCTTTGGTAGAGGTCTTTGGAAAACACTGCTTGCTTCACTAATGCCTAGCTGAATTCAGGATACCCGCCTATCTCTAGTCCTGACTTCAACAGCCAGTCACAAGAAAATGTTTTCTCCCTGAGAGTTATATATATTTAACAGCTTAAAGGAAAAATGTTTATAAAGAGGATCATGAGCCAGATGGAAGTTTTTAGCAAACTGATGAAATACCTGAAAGAAATAAGGTATAAAAATTTTTTTGTTAAATTATAAAAAAAAAAAGAACTAGTTCTGTGGCTTTTAGATTAAGCTCACAGAATATATTGCAAATTCATACTGCTTTGAGGTTTGAATAGTCAAAGACACTCAACAAACTTCAGCATGAGGGTGTACTGCTTCTTCCTTTGTCAACCAGTCACAAGGGCTAGAAGGCCAAGTTTTCACCTATACTGTTTCATCCAGATCTATGGCTTTCCTGGAAATACTCACCTGTTCCATCAGCCAAGTACCCTAAACAACCCTACCTGGAAAGGTGAGGTTGTTAGGGTTTTTGTTGCTTTAAAAGAGATCCTTCCACAGCTGTCACCATTGTAGAAAGATTTGTTATTTGATCATAGAATCATAGAATCGTTAAGGTTGGAAAAGACCCTTAAGATAATGATTCTTTCATATAAGAATCAATCTCTGTTCACAACAGAGAATGTTTTAGTTACAACAACATGCTAGTAAGTTCAGTCCTCCTTGCCTCCAGTGTAGTTTAATCTCCGTCCAAACACTATTAACATTTTTAAATATGCATTCTTGCAGAGTTCTGTATGGGTTTACAATCAAAAAAGGTACCAGATTCCAATCAGACACAACACACACTAATAAAACACCTGCCAGCTAACTGCAGTTATGCATCACACTAAAGGAGCAGGCTTATGTTTTCATAATTGTCTTTAATAATACTTTTGCAGAGAAAATTCAGTTCTTTACTTTCTTTAAGTTCTTGTATTTCAAGGACTCCTCAAGGCAATAAACCAATCTGTTCAAAGAATAAAAAACTAGAGAAGAGTGGCCATGTTACCAGAACTGAAATCTTGATTCAGTTCTGAGTTAGTTTTCATGGTAGTTACAAACATTTTTTTTTTTAAACAAAACAAAACAGTGCAAGTAATTTCCTCCACTATGTTAGATGTCAATAAAGTGCATTTAATAGGATCCCCACCAAAACATTGATCTTCCATCTAGATTCTTCTCTTACCAGGTGGCTCAGATTGTGCTCCCCGATGGCTTTCCATATTCACATTCTCTTCATCTGCTGGGAAAGAAAGATGTTTAGCATTCAAATTCTCTTATCTTCAAAGTTGTTGATTAATAGAGATAAATTGAGAGAAGAAACAGCACTGAAGAAAGTGGGCTACTGATAGTAGTTGAGTTTCCCTTGTGTTGCCTGCATGTTAATTTTAACGTGCATGGTAGATGTTACTCAGTTTCCAAACTTCCCAAATAACAAAACGGCAGTGCCTGGCTGGACTGCTGCTCTATCATCTTCCTTCACCAACCAGTCAGAAAGACTAGAAAGGACAAAAATAAAGCTTCTGCCCCACCTATCGCCCACAGTACTCCCCAAGTTCTCTGATCCAAGTTATATCTTATTTAGGTGGAAAGGAAGTAGATAGCAAACAATAGACGACTGCAGAAGAAAGAATCATTTGGGGATGAACATCCGGGTATTTGTCAGAAACCTAATATGTAGGCAAGTACCTTGTGAAGACACAAAGGCAAGATTTACAAAATTAGAAATGACAAGGTATTTTCCAGCATGAAAACAGTCTCTAATCCCCAACCTCCACTCAATTTTCTTTAAAGGAATGTTCTCTTGCAGTCATTCCTACTCACTCTTTAGCAGGAAGTGCTTTTGTTTTAAGAAATGCAAAGCCTTAGGCCTGTCTGCTTCTGAAAGTCTAAACTTTGGGTGAGGCATTCTTCAGACACCCTGTCTTAGATCACTAGTAAGAGAGGTTATTACCTGTGAACACAAATTCACTGTGCTATTAAAACTACCTTATGCATAAGATCAATCTCTAGCTCCCATATAAACACGAAAACGCGTCTCTCTAGACAGGAGAAAACAAAACTAATTTAGAATTCTTACCGTTTTGTTTGAAACAGAGTTTCTTCTTTTGGTAAGCAATGAAACTAGATACTGCTCCAATTACAGTAGCAACCACAGCACTTACAATTCCAGCTATTGCTCCCTGAGAAGCTGAAAAAAAAGAGGTTTGTATACATTTTTCAGAATCGAAAGCAATGTCAAGCTTGTATTGTCTCAAAGTAAACCCTGTGAACACTTCCAGAAAACAATAAACTGAAATTATTACATGAAACTGTAGTAAACAACTCTTTCTGTCTTTCTGAATAATGAAAAGTGAATCCTCTAATTTTATAACCATTGATTTCTTAGCAATGCCTATTGTTAAACAACTTAAGCACACCTGTTGCAAGTTCCACTAATGAAAAAAAGCTACCCTTTCATAACCAAATCTAAGCTGTATGCATGGAATCACTGCACCAGCATCTCCGAGACCTTAACACTTTTGAATCATTTGCAACGTAGAGATTTTAAAGAATTATGAAAGTAGAGCTTGAAAGTAAGAATTCTAGATTCTACAAAAGTTCTTAAGCGGAAACCCACTACCAGTAGCGACCATTCTAGCAGAATATTAGCAATACAGAAAAACACAGAAAACAAGATTCAGACATGCAGACACCATCATATACATACATTTATGCATTTACCCTCACCTTCTTCATTATTTGGACTTGGTCCCTTTCGTTCTGTAAAAATGAACGAAAGGTTTAGATTTTACATGTCTAAAGAACAGTCATATCATAATTGACAACGTTTTTGTCAATTAATCATGCAAAATTACAAGCCACCTATTATACCCATACAGTGCTAAGCTCTCTGGCACTCAAACTTCCTGTTTTCAAAGCACAGCTCTTGGTAATGCCAACTTCAGCTTTGGATGCTCAGCACTTCTACGAAATGAGCGCAGCAGACCTGTGAAGCCTGGTTTATTCAACTGGCCCACCACCACAGAATACTCAGTGGGGAGGAACAGTATAGAATTTCAGGGTAGCATTCAACTGTATTTCCATGGAACCAACCATCTTTTCCTAAAATCCCAGCCTCATTTACTAAATATTTTTGCAATTCTCTTAGCAAACGAGACAGAAGTTCTGTAAATACTATCCTTATTTGGCACTATGCAACTTGCACCACTGAAGCAGGAACCTGTGCAGATGAAAACACCACCCAGGTCTCAACAGATGCTTCTTGCCCCTGTCAATTTTCAAGTTACTGCCCCAAAGGAACCTTGGAAGGTGAAAACTTCCCAAAAAATTAGCATCGGTAATCTCTGTCTGGGACAACTCTCTGAAGAAGACCAGCAGCATGTCTCAACATCACATCAAGATACTTAATCTAACTTTGACCTGGAAATAGTAAAGTTGCAGTAATGCATCCAGGAACGACTAACCCTGTCCTAATGATGGGGTTGGTCAATACTGCAGCTTGGTCCCAATGACCACCTCTGTACTGAGCTGTGCCATAACAATTAGACATGGCAGATTACTCAAAACAAGTTTGGTTTTGATACAGCTCAGAGTAGATACAACCTACATCACCTGGAAGACGTAAGGATCAGTTCATCCTGTGGAACAGATGAAATCTTTGAGAACACAAGGTGAACCCTCTTCTGGCCCACCCCTGGGCTTCCTAACCACAAGAACTAAAAGAAACTGAGAGTATGTCACAGAAGATCTGAAAATGACACCTGGATGCCTTTAAGAAATATATTCGTGGTGAATTTTGAAATAAATACCACATTCGTATCTCACCATCTTTCTTAGCATAACAGTGAAAACCAATGAAGGTTCCTGTACCAGTTTTACCTCTTAATTATCTGGGAGTTTTTGGCAGAGACAGAACACATTGCTTTTGAACTGGAAGGTATGCTCTTAAGTTTCAGATACCAGAACCAAAAGTGTTACAAGTTAGACCACGTTAACCAGCTTGTGAGCAAGCTTTTATCAAAAGCTCAGGTAGCCATAGGGTCAATATGAAACACAAGCTACTATCTTACCATTGCTGCCACTACCATCGCCTTTTGGTAAACTGCCATCATATAGATCCGAATCATCAAGTTTGCCTATAAAAAAATAAAAATAATATTACCTTACATGTTTTAAGTTCAGTGAAAAGACACCTCAAGGCACATAATGACATGGAAGTTTTCTCTAGATCGTTCAGCTGAGTTCGTGGTGGTTTTAGGCTCAGTGTCATAGTCACAACAAGTTCCTGTTTCAAAAGCCCTCCCAATCTCCAGTCCCTTCAGCTTGGCACTATACAGTCTGATAGCAGCACGGCTGCTTCTGGACTTCCTGAACAACTGAGACAAGTCAGTGTCCAAGAGCAAGTAGTACTGCACAAGTCATAGGCTAAGCAAGCAAGAAGCCCTGTAAGCTACTTAAGTGGAACAGCCCAAGTCTCACTATCCTGTTAAAGCAGAGAAAGGACATGGACAGGAAAGGACCATTTCTTTTCAAGGCTGCAGCTGTAAATGTTTCTTCAGAGCTGGGTTTTTAAGTCACAACCAATCTTTTGAACCTGTACAACAGAGTAGCTAAAGAAAAAAAGAAAAAAAACGTTCAATATGCCACAGTCCAGTGGCTGCAGTATTTGCCTGACAATGGGAAGATCCAAATGTAATTCCTCCTCTGATTTACTGCAGGACATTGAATCAGTCCCTCTCCATTTCCACTGGACCTTACCTCATGGGGCCTGAGTTCTCCTCCTTCCCTCTGCTGCCAATCTTTAGTTTATGCAAAGCAAATCTGTTTCAAGCAGCAAAACTAGAAGTACTGCATCAGAGGATGCTTTAGTTGGGTGGCAAAAGCACTGTACTGAGGTATGCAAGACCCAAATTCAAATATCTGCTGCAAATCAGGCAGGAGAAGTAACAAGAACCAGGGCTTGCATTTCAGGTAAGGACTCTTTACCACCATATTCCTGGTTAATGGTATCATCACAGCTGCATCCATCTGAATCTGTTTTGTTCTGACTTAGGTGAAGACAGAGAAGACCTCTAAAACACAACAGGCAAGGAAGGACATGTATTTTAAGCCTACCTTACAAACACAAAAAAATTGTATTTCTTAACTGGGGCCTTTAAAAGAAAAACTAAAAAAAAAAAAAAAAAACCAAACCAACCCTTTAACTTTGAGCTTTACCTTTAATTTAGATGCTTTAAGAATACAGTTCACAGGTAGTTCCTACTGACTTTTTAGCACAACTAGCGGGGATTCAGTTTGTTAAGATGAAAGGACTCAATCCAGTACACAGGTGCTCCACCATAGGCAGTCAAGAACAACATTGTCCCAAGCACACACACTCTGTCCCATCCTTCTTCCTCCCCACACCATCCTGCTTTTAAGTGAAAGGAAAGTGACTCAAGAGGTTTGTTATGGAATTTCAAGACTGCTGCAAAGCTTATTTGCAAGACAATTTTTCCTCAGTCCTCAGTGTTTATCCAGTGCAACATCTGACATACATAGCAGCCAGTTAACAAGGTGTAATTATTATAAGTTTAACTGAGATAGTAAAACCATGTCATGATTCAGGAGTTTGTGCTAGAAGCCTTACCAGCATCTTTAGGATGTGCAGGTGGACCTTGCTTGGGGTTATCTACACAGAAAAGAGAGATTTAGGAAAAAAAAAGAAAAAGGTTAAGAGATCAAAAGCAGAGTACAATACAGTAACTTTGAAAGGGACTAGGAAAGAGTAACAAATACTTTTCTACTGTTCAGAAATTCCTGCTAGGTCAGTCTTACCTGAGTCTCTAGGATTTGCAGGCAGAACTGGTGTGGGGTCATCTGTAGACAAATAAGAATAAAGTGACCAAAGTTACTAGTGTGAAGAGACCAAAAGCAGAGCATATAGTGACCTTGAAAGACTGTCTTCCCTGTATCATTTTCCTTTCCTTTCATTACATAATGCTGTATTTGTTTGGTTATTTTAGGTTAAACACTGTACTTTAATGCAATTAACAGTGTTTCTGCTACATGAGCCTGTATGTCAGACCCTTGCTATAACTGAACATATATACAGAAGAACTCACTAAGTGTTATGCAGCATTTTAGTTTGCACAGCTGATTTCAAACATTGAAATTCTTTAAATTTTTCTACCAGGTACAGATTACTTGGCTGTTTCCTCTTTCAAAACTACCAGATTTTAACCAATAATAAAGGTTGATACCTCACAAACAAACAAAGACAAGATACACACGATAGAACTAGAAATATGGTCCCCGCAATGACTTCATTTAGCTTGCCACAAAATAGGAGAATAAGAGATCTTAGTAATTATATCTGTACTGTTTGGTCGCAGTCTTTGTTGCCCACATCAAATTAACACACCAGCAGTGGTTTTCTAAAACTGTGTTTTCACCAACAGCTGAACCATCTAGCAGCCCATTTCTTCTGTATGCTACTTGTCCTTGATGTTGCATGGTCTCGCCTCCTCCCAGCTCCACCACAAGTCAGATCCAGTCTCCTTAGGCTCTCTGTATATTCAAAGTAAAGAGGCAGGCACCTCCAGAGCACAATTCCAAGACCCCAACTTAGGCTTGCCATCCTGTAAAGGATCCTCTCTTTGCTTACCTGAACCATCCGATTCATTCAGTCAACTGTTTATCAATTAGCCAACTCTGATTTAAAAAATGTCAGCAGTTGGAAACAGACTGCTTTAAGAGAGACAAAACTTCAAAGGGCTAAATGAAACAGAGCAGTAAACAGCGCTACTCTCCCACAACTGTATGTCCTGTGCTAGGAAAGCCATCTATACTGCAACAGGTCTAGTGATGGTACTTGAAAAGCTACTGTGCATTATCTGCCTAACTGGATGCACCTTTTTCTGGCCGAGTGAAAACAATACTGCAATTTCTACTGCTGCCCACACTGAAGAGCTGAAGTGCATTAGAAAGAGTACCTTCCTTCATATTATTTCAAAGAGATTAATGTTTCCTTGTGATACTAAAATTACTTCCTGGAAAGAAAGAGATTACTTCAGATTTAAAAACTACTTCCATGAGTAATAGTTTATGGAATTACTGCCATCTAGTGAAGACACAGCAAGGAAACAAGTAGGACTTGGCTAAGAAATGAGTGAAATACATACAGTTCTTGTGATCGAGACCCTTAAAACTGAAGGTAAATAAACATAACTAGACTGCAATTATTTTCATCTGCAGTCAGTTACCTTAATCAACTCAGTGTCCTTATTACATTTAGGTAATAAAGGATGGATAGACACTGCACCACGTACCACTGACCAGTATCCAGGAAAACATGATACTTACGAGGCTGAAGAGCATCTTCTAAGTTGAAATCATCTACAAAGAAAGAAGGGAGGTTTTAAATGTAATGCAAAAACTGAACTAGTTTTAGACTATTTTTACACAAAATGCACCTCACAATGTTTTCACTGAGAATATGATGGCATGCTTATTCAACAGTGGCCCACAGAAGAGCACCACAGAGTTACCAGACATTATCTGCCAAACTACATGCTGCTTTTGGTGATCATGGTACATGCCAAGGGCCAGTTCAAGGTGAGCAATCTCAAAACATGCAGATTGAGAGCCAACAGAAGGGATTTCCACAGGGTCTTTAAGCTTGTGAAATCACAAAGTAAATTTATGAAAGCACTAGCAGAAGACTCTAAAATGCAGAAATACTTTTGCTATTGGGGAACTGCTTTCTTTTATAGAAATATCACAACTCTGTGCCACTAAATTGAAAAATTCAGGCTCTCAAATGAGTATGTATAACTACACTTGACTTCACAATAAAAGGCATTACAAGCCAATTAGATCTCACCGGAATCTGATGGTGGTGGCTTCTGAGATGGAAGAGGCTTATTATTAGTTTCTGTCAGGGACGGTTAGAAAAAAAAAAAAAGTTTAAATACTATTTAATACACTGTTCAGAAGATACATGAAGGACAAATGTAAGCCTATGTCTATACAATGAAAAGCACAAGATCAAGTCTATACAGCAAGACATTTTCCCCTTAAAAGGAATCCCTGAGTGTTCCCAAAGACAAATTTCAGTTCTATGCTGTCAATATTTTGACATACCCATAGCTGAATTGTTCCACTGAGGTTTAAACAAACCATATGTGGGGAAGGTGTCATGCTTGGTCATTTAGTGATACTCAGAAACAAACAAGTCAAAAGAGCAGTCATTATTCTCCCGCCTCCCTCCCAAAATTTGAACAAGTGTAATAATTACCAAGTGCATCTTGTAAGTTCAAGTCGTCAGAATTGCCTGTAGAAGATGAAAGCAACAGTAAGAACACTTTTTTCTTACTCAAAACCAAGACTTATTACAATCATAAACATGTCTTTGATCTATCTTGAGGAATGTTTTCCACTTGCTGCGTCAGACTAGGAGAATATTTTGAGTCAGAGCTGAAGACAGACATTCTTCTCTATTTTTCAAGACTACCATCCACACATCTCTTTGGAAAAAAAAGGAACAACACTAAAAATTGTCTCTATAGAAAGGATCCAGAGGGCCAGAACATATATTCCTATGGTCAATATAATGCACTTAATCCTTTATTCTTGCCACTGCTATTGCATGTTTTCTTAGTGCCATCCGCAGCATATTCTTTCCCAGCCTTCTTCCACTGAACCACAAAATAAGCAGGGGCACAGCTCCAATTCACAAGAATTTACAAGATTCAAATGTGAAGAGCAGCCTTGGAGCACAAAGGCTGGTATGAAAGTTATATGATTGGGTAATGGATTTAACACCTTGGCATTAAAAATTAATTTTCATGGGTTTATAGGACTTATCTTTTCCCCTAACAAAGGTTAACAGTATGAAGGTGGTTAAGTTATTGGCACAGATGATCTTGAGCAGTCTCTTCAACTTCCTAAAAGACAGCTAAATGCAGCTGTCACCACTATGGGCTCTCCACTCCAGGTAGATTAAATTTCATTTTCAGCCCTTAGGAAAAGAACATTCTCTCTTGCTGTATTAGGTCAGTTGCTAGAGCTACTGCTGCTTACCCAGCCAACTGCAAACACACTAACTCAATATATTCATGATACAAACTGGTTTCACAGCATGAATATAGTAGTGTGATCTCAGCAGCAGAGGCTTGTAAGCTAAGTGGACAGCTATAACAACTGCTTGGGATATTTCTGATAGTTCATCACTCCTACTTTCAGTGAAGCCTGGAAAAAGAAAAAGGCATGGAAGTAGATAAGAGCTATTCAAGAAAAAGACATCCAAATATACTGCTCCAGCCCCAAAGAAGCTGGAATACTTTTTCTACCTTCTATCAAGCCAGCCAGAGCAGAATTTAATTCCAGCCAGAGCTACCTTAATTCAGAAAATACATGCATAAAGCATTGATGTGTTTGGCTTTTCCTCTAAGAATGTAGCTATAGAATAGAAATCAGAACTGGCTACTGCAAAGTCTGAAGAGAGGAATAAAAAACAAACATCAAAAATCAAACCACAAGCAGAATGTTCTTTCTGCTTACATAACAGGCCAAGTTAAGACAAGGACAACTCACAAGTCTAGTACCAGGAATGACAGATGCTCATATACTTGGTGACATATTTCATCTCAACTCAGGTCTAAATTGAACTCTCTTTTCCATCTCAGATAAGTGCACTAATAATGTCATTTTTTTTTTCCAGAGAAGAAACGAGGCGAAGATATATTTTTTTATTTTTTAATATGGAAGCAATGAATGACAACTGGAATAAAAAAATCAAAGGCAAGCTTGCAGTTTCCTGAAAACATCCTTCAAGCTAGTCTTCAGTCTGGCCAACTGAACTGCTACAGCAGAATCTGAAATCTGAAGTCTAAGCAGTGATTCCCATGCTGTAACATTTGAACTGAGTACCACCCTGCTCACAGCCAAGTAAGGAGGTAGCACTGCCTGGTCAGCGACAGGCCCCTTCATGGAAACAGAGGCAATTCATGGCTTTATTGTGGTGCATGAGCAAAGTGCATTTAGAACCTCCTGGATAAAGTCATTAGGTATAGATCTTGGATAGAAAGCAAGAAGATACTTTACTTACTTTACTTTATTTATTTACTTAAAGAAGAGACCATAAGCTCTTTTAGATACTTAGCTCATGAAAAACTGTTTCACAGAATTCAGGTTGTTTATCTGAAGCCTACATCATCTTGCAATAGAATCTTAAAAACCTCAGTAAAATGAGCAGTTGCTAAGACCCAAACCTCAGTTACCTCTGAAGTTACCCCTTTGTTTAGACTGCACCAAGAAACCTCCATATTAACAGGCAAGAAAGGTCAAAACACTCAAGAGAAATTTAAACAAGTATTTGCATAGTTGTTCCTCAAACTTCAATTCTAGTTTGTTTGTTTTGTCAAGTACATACATCTCTCAGGCTACAGTCCTCCAAGGAGGAATGCCTAAGACAGGACCTGCTCAGATACTTGCTAGTCTAACTCTAAGGCGGCAGACGGAAGGATCTGTTGAAGATGCATACTCCTCAAAACATTATACCAGAGTAGCAACCAGCAGATGGACCATCACCATCTGTCTCGAGGTTAATGATATATCACTAAGTCAATGAATGTTACACTGGTGGGTGTATTTCAAGAGCACTATTTCTTTTTAGAAGGAATGGCAGAGGGAAAAACAAGCACATATAGTCAACATTATGCTTTGGTGCAGCTGAAGTTTTACCTGGTGCAGAAAAGAGGCTATTTCAAGAGTCTCCTGCTACCACCATGAAACTTAGTCAGAGAACTCTGAATGGTTCCAGCTGCAGTGGTTTTCCTCAAGAGGAGGAAACCAGTGTAAAAGAGTGTGCATTCAGTGACATTGCTATTTTAAGGGATTGTTTTCACACTTGATCTTCATGGAGAAATAATTAAGGATGAGAATGCTGACTGCCAATCTCACATAAGACATGCTTTGAGAGAGCAATAAACAAATTTGAGAGTTAATAAAAGAAAAAAATCATTCTATATTGACTGGAATTATTCAATATTCTGCAATGACAATTCTGTTTTCCAAGCATGCAGCAAGACGTCAGGCTCTTCAAACACATTAATTTACCTCAGTAATGGTAGCAGAAAATTATACTCATTACAATAATATGCACTCTGAAGTGCTGGCAGTCTCCTTTCCCAGCAAAGACTGGTTGTTTCTCCACTGTTCATGACAAACCTTCTTATGTCTTTAAAGCACTTGCTTTTACAACTGTACTTGCTCAGCTTTTAGTATGGTGGGTCCAGCAAAACTAGAAGTTCAATTACTTAGCCTGAAAGGAGATGCTCAGAACCAGGGATTCAGCTGGTTCCAGGGAAGAAACAATCAGACAACAGAGATAAAGCTACAGAACTAGAATAAAGGTAGGAGCAGGATCCAAGAAGAAAAAGTCAGCAAGAATATGCTGCACTTCCTACAGGTTTAAGGAACACCCAGAGTAACCGAGCTCATGAGCATTTTCTTAGTCTAAGCAAAGATAATTGCAAATTAAGCAGATATTATATTGTGTATAAAGAACAATATAGCAGGTATTTCTAGCTCTTATGGGCACAAGCAGATTCAAGAACGTTTCAGAAGTGTCCACACTATTTTCCTTCCATGTCCATAGCTCAAATAACGGGATCTCAAGAGACAGATCTTCAGGAGACTGTCCCCAGTAACCTGCATAGTTTGTGTCAGATGGGTGAAAAACAGCAGGTAAAAAAAAAGAGCAAATATTCAGCTTTTGAAAAGCTGATGAGCTAGAAGGGTATTCAAGAGAGCCAAGTAACTACGCAAATAGGAGTCCTCTGCAAAGGCCTATCACCGCCCTCAGATACTTACTGCTATGGTATTAGATTAGTCATATTTACATTCCACTGCAGAAGCAGACACAAGCTTTGGAAAGTTCCTCCATTAGTCACGTGTATGGCGACACACCAAGAAAGGAGACTTGTGATGAATCACCACAAACATAAATTTCTGACTTGAGCAACACGCTGCTTGAATTTTGTTTTTCTAAAAACGCTGGTGCTCTCCTCCTACCCTGTGCCACAGAGCCTGTGTGCTGCAACTGGTCTTCCAGTTGTAGGCCTACAGACCAGGTGACGGAGGTCAGCTTGTCCCTGTCCCACCACTGGACATTACCTGCCACTCTGTCAGTGGCCAGCTAACTTACAATCATAAAATCATAGAATATCTTGAGTTGGAAGGGACCCATAAGGATCATCGAGTCCAACTCCCTGCTTCTCACAGGACTACCTAAAACTAAACCATAGGACTAAGAGCATTGCCCAGACACTCCTTGAACTTTGACAGGCTTGGTGCTGTGACCACTTCCCTGGGGAGCCTGTTCCAGTGATGGTCCACTCTCAGAGAAGAACCTTTTCCTAATGATGTCCAATCTGAACTTCCCCTGACACAGCTTCATTCCATTTCCTTGTGTCTTACCGCTGGTCACCAGAGAAAGGAGATCAGCACCTCCCCCTCCACTGCCCCCCTTGAGGAAGTTGTAGACAGTGATGAGGTCACCCCTCAGCCTTCTCTTCTCCAAGCTGACCAAACTAAGTGACCTCAGCTGCTCCTCAAAAGTCTTGCCCTCGAGGCCTTTCACCATATTGGTTGCCGTCCTCTGGATGCACTCTAGTAGTTTCATAGAATCATTTAGGTTGGAAAAGACCCTTAAGATCATTGAGTCCAACCATTTGATGTCCTTCTATTGAGGCACCCAAAACTGCACACAGTACTCGAGATGGGGCTGCACCAGCACAGTGTAGGGTGGGACAGTCACCTCCCTCAACCGGCCAGTTATGCTGTGCTTGGTGCACCCCAGGACATGGCCGGCCCTTTTGGCTGCCAGGGCACACTGTTGACTCATGCTCAACTTGCCATCAACCCAATCCC